CACAGATTATCCAACACACGAAATATGAAAGCTAGAAGAGCAACAGACAAGTAAGGGTATTTGCCGTGTATACACCAACTTCCGGCATTTTTGGAAAATGGCGTATGAGTGATGTAAAATTTTAAGGTAGAATTTACGAGGCAGAACTCCGAAGTTTACGGGAAGATACCACATAAAATGTGCTACAGAAACTGCAGAGTCAAAAGTGAAACCGAATGTAGCCGAAATTTTCACAACATAACTGCAATGTACGGATAAATTCACCATGAGAGTGTGCTGACAACACAGCCACAGTATAACAACCGTGATGCTTGAGGAAAACTGAGCATCCAGACGTGGATATTTACGGTTTCAGTTAAGTTCGCTTATTTTTACTGAGTGACTCAATCGGATTTGCGACCATGCAGCTACCCGTTAAAGGCTGAAACAAATGCATGCTTGACTGATCAGGCTTCCGATTCTCAAATGTCGTATGCCGTGGTGTACAATGAATGTGTTTATTGGCCGCGCCTGGTATTTTGGACACATTGAGTCTGCGGTGGAAGCACTTTTGGAATACCTGGCATCACGATTTTTAAGACGGCTACCTCCAAAATTTTTCACACCAGCATTCTGGTTAACGGCACGCGACAGACCACTCAGCTGGACTGTGTATCGCATTGTCGAGGAATATGCCGTCTAGTGACTTATTTGTTATCAAGCACAGGCCAAATCGTGGTGACTTGTGGTGCACGACCGATTCATACTGTTGAAGTGAGGCCTCGACACACTCCGAAGAAAATCCATCTCTGAGAATCTTTGGAAGTACAGGGTCCACTCACTCAGAACATTTGGCAACTTGGTCATCCCGTATCCCCTGCATGGAAACTAATCGTCCGTGTCTCCTGGTCCACCCCGCAAATGCCGCCGGCCCAATCCAGTGCAAGCCCGAATTCGATGATGCCGTGATAGGGGCGATGAGTCTGGACCTTACCGTGATGTGATGGTTTGCGTGCCTCAGAGATCTATTGAGCTATGATGGATGGTGTTTTTTGAACCTTCAAAGCCACTCATACCAGATTGGTCAGGCAAACTCAGTCTTCTGGTCCTCCAGGTTTGGCGTTAGAGTTTAGGTGGCTCCTTATTCCTTAAAGCCGACTCCTTATAGCCCACCGCCAAACCCGCTACCTTGCGGTCAGGTTTTTGAACCAGAGGCTTTGGTTGAGAACCCTAATCGTTTTCCTGTCTAGGCCTGGGAAACCTGACGGTATCCTGCCTGCGCAATACAATGAATTTTTCTTCAAACAGTTTCCTGATGCTCTGGCCGTTGCATAGGATAATAAACGGCGCCCTATCCGCTGCATCGAGCAGGGAGGATATGGGTTTGGATGCTACTTTTCACACTTTTTTACTCTTACCGTCCCATTCCAACTTCACTTATATCCCCCCTAGTTTTCACCCTCCCTGCGATTCTTGGCCCTCCCCCAACATGCTTTGCTATGCATTTATCTTCTAATTTCAACTCATGCTAACGCAGAGTGTCACTCCTCTCTTGTCGACAAGCCCGTGTCCAACCAAGCGGTTCATTCCAGTTCATCGGCTTACATTTTGGGAACCCTTGATCCTCCGTCAGATTGATATACCTCAATGTACGCACATTGCTACAGATCGGTCAACAGGCAGCACTTACTCGAACATTAGAGACCCTCTCCATCGATATCTGCTGCTTATCGGATACCCACCGTCAAGACTCGAGTTCTGTGCTCACTCTGCGATCCACTTCAGGGGCAACCAGCATTATTTTCTCATTGGGCCTATCCGGTGACGATGCAGCTTCGAGCACCAGCCAAGCTGGTGTTGGTATTGCCCTGAGTCCCCGGGCTGAAGCTGCTCTGCTTGGTTGTATCCCGATCAGTAGTCTGGTGTGCGCGGTCCGATTGTTTGGTTCGTTCAAAGCTTCGAAGTCGCGCGGGACTTATTGGTGTCTATTCATCACTGCTGCTTGCGCGTCCAAATATCTAGCGATGATTTGGTAAAACCACTTCTACCGCCAACTGACCCAGCTCCTTCGCCACAGAAGAAGCGCGAACACGGTTGTGCTGGCGGAGATCTGAACGCAGAGATTGAAAAGTTGCCCACTGACGAACTTCATCTAGGCGGTAAACACGGTGTAGGCTCCCGTAACGATAATGGTGAGCGGTTACTTCATTTGTGTGAAGATGCTCGCTTATTTCTTGCGAGCACTAATTTCCGACACAGCACCCGCCAGAGGGTGACTTGGCGCCCACCAGCCTCGAACCAGCTATGGACGCAAATCGATCACATTGCGATAAGTTACCGATGGAGGGACTGCGTCCAAAACTGTCGCTGGATTTGGAGCACAGGTGTGGACACCGACCATGCACTTGGATGTGCTGACCTGTGGATGCGTTTTGGCGGACGCCCAAGACGACGTTATGGGCGCATAGACACCAGCCAACTGGGGAAACCAGCTGTTCTGAATGCCAATCAAAGTACGCTGTCATGCGAGTTGAGTAAGCGCTCACTGGATGCAGCTGAAGCTCACTGGTCTCACGTTCACCAGACTTTACCAGCAGCAAGCAAATCCTCATGTGGTAAGTTTAATCGTCAAAATGGACATTGGGTCTCTTCGCGGTCTCTGGAACTTATGGATGCTCGCCGGCATATTCCTGATGGAAGTGTACACAGTAAACCTCGGTTAGAGCTCCGGGCAAGACTGCGTGCTAGCCTGAAGAGAGATCGCGAATCCTGGTGTCCTTTTCGTAAGTGAGAGTTGAAGTAGCCGCTGCCCTTGGTAACCATCGAAGGTTATTCTGTCTGATACGGGAATGAAGACCCTCACTTCGAAGCTGGCCTCGGTTGGAGCCTCACGGCTTCCTGGTTGGGGTCCAAAAGACGATGAACACGTTTGGCTAGATATACTTGCTGATATGGCAAGGAGCCGGCCTCAGTGGCATTCCTGCTATGAGGTTCTTTGTGCCTCTCCATCCCTTTTAGCTTCCCCCTTCAACCACGATCTCATTTCGTAGCATAATATAATTTTGCATGGTAAATTCTTTTTTGCTGCTTAGTAGACGGCTGGTGGCTTTCCGGAACAATGCCCATCCGTTGCTGATAGCTCAGCTGGCATGCAACTGTTGCACCTCTTTTCTTTTTTTCTTTTGCGTATTGCGGCACAGTAACAGGTTTTTTACACCTCTAGCTGACGTGTTTAATGCTGCTGCTGATGATAGAGGAGGGTCGTTGTCACCTGCTGGAAGCAGCTTGTTCGCTAAATCGAGAAGAGGCAAATGTCTTCTAAACGATAGTTTAGGGAAACAACGCATTGGCAATCTGGATCTAGTTCCATGGTTTCAGATTCGCACATTTGCAATCTACTGCACGAGGAGCATCCCTAGCTGGGTCCAGTGGATTACGATTCTCCAACTCTAAAGCAGAAAAGTTTTGTAGATATTCTTTGTTTACCTACGCCAAACATCATTCCAGATTGACGCCACCGTAGGTATAGCTGTTGTAATTGGGTAGATCATAGTAGGACTGATGGAATTGCTTCAGCCCTCACCAAGTCAGTTTTGCTATGATTTGTAGATTGCCAGCGTTAACATAAGATTAAGTATTAACTACGTTATTCTGTGCATTCTGACTAAATAGGTTAAAGATCATTGGAAACAATTTGTTTCGTTTTATTGATGATTACACACTTAAAAGCAATTTCCGAAGTTCTACGCGCCAATCTTCCTTTATGAAATCATACCTGACGAACTTTGGATTAAAGGCAGCATCAGAATATACGCAGAAGAGATGGCTTAAGTTCGTTTCATTCATGATAGATAATAGTTGCCTTGTTTAATAGCTTGCGGTCAAGGCGTTCAAGAAGTTTATTAGCCTCTGGTCACGGACAGGGTGTTTGGCAGATTCACATAGCACGGTGTACCGCAATAGGTAAGAAGCAACTGGATTTTTGCATGAAGCTGTCCGGAATCGGGTGCTGGAGGTATTATTCGAATCACCCCTCCTTAAATACCAGTATTTTAACGCCTACTAATTGGGAAATTGGCAACCTAAATTCCTTAGTTTTGAGTAACCTTTCTACGTGAAATCCACTAAACACCTTCCGAACTCCTAATCGCTACACTTCAACTGCGGCGGCAAAAAGTCCGCGTTGATCTCGTCAACATCCACAGAATCATAATTTTTTCGTGTTCGCTAAATGATTCTATCGGCTTAGCTATTGTTTAGTTTTCGGTCGATATTGCGTCATCACCGAAGTTGGTCTTCTCTGATTCCTATTGTGGCTGCAATGTTCTTTTCACATATGATTGTAAAGGTCTGGCGATGAATTCGTCGAAAACAGTTGTTTTCCTTCGGTCCCTTGTTCTTGATGATTACATGGGAATTTTCCAATTATTTTCACCTACCTCTGACCATAGTTCACAGTGTTGTTATCAGATCGCTCTGTCTTTGGATACTGTGCATTGTTGATCTCAGTATATTATGACATTACCGCACATGCCCGTAGCCTTAAGGATCACAAGCCTTCCTTGTAATCTGGTGGCGCGTGTTCGAGACTGCGTAGGGGCAGGGCGACCCTCGCAGTGTCCTTAACAAGCGTGCGACCGGTGGCGGTTGCGTGGCCTTGAAGCGTCGATACTGCGTACCGGCGCACTGCTGATGCCCTTTTTCTTATGACATAACCGCCTGTGTGAAATAGCTACGTAGTCGTTTATAAGTAAGTCGATTGCGGAACTAGTTACATGTTCGGCAAATATTAGGTTATTCTAACGGACTGAGATGTTAAACCTTCTGTAGATTTCTAAAGGCCTTCATGCGATGCAGTGATCTATGCGACAGAACGGAGACGACGTACGCATCGCCTGCAGGAAATATTCGCCTGTTACTCACCTTCAATTAGTCTAACTTCGTTTGGCAAAGCATATGGTTTATTCCCCACATTGCGGTTTTATGTATGTTGTGCACGGAACTCAACTTCCTTTTTTCAGTTCCAAAACAACGAACCCACACATGTGAATACTGTGCGAAACGCTTTTTGCAGAGGTCACACCTGAGGACCCACATAATCGCCGTCCACTTAAGTGAGTTCTATTTTACTATCGTCGTTTGTTTCCACTGTTTTATTTTCCTTCTGTCCAAGAATAAAATTTGAAACAGTTAAATCTCTTCGGCAGTTAAACAACGCGGGAAGACGAAACTTGACAGATGTAAACATTTCGTACTGTCTCGTCAGTGCCAATACGAAAACATGAAAAATTTACTTGTCTATAGCTGAGGTGTGACAAAACATGTAGACTGATCTCTCCCGTTGTCAATTGAGCTGTTGACAGACACTGCTACTCTGCGCCGAGAATCTCAGTTTCCATTTTCGAAACCCTATGTATCGCCACATAGATGGAGTATCATTCATTGACATTCTTTGCGATATTAACGGATTTCTTTATTTCAGTGGTGGCGACAAACATGGGTGCAGAAATTTTCAACCTTTTTCAGTATCAACGCAACGTAAACGACACTTTTGTGTTCTCTTTATCGGGAAAACAGATCACACGCCTCCCTTAACTTTACACTCATATACCTACCGATCTGCAAACAAGCAGCGAAGTAGAACTTTGAATCATTTATTCTAAAGATATATGCATTGTAAATGCTTCCTCATCTGCACTATATACGTATATACATATACCATTTTCACTTTAAACTGAGCGGTCTGTAAATCGATTTGGACATTTTGCAAGACAGATTGGACATTTTACAAACCTTAGACATATTGCATTCTAAGCAGAGAAGCAGCAATTCACTTGCAAGAAATGAGGAGTGCGGCTACTAGACCATGTGCATACTACATTGTAGTCATGCTAATGCAACTGAATTGTGCAAGCAACGGGTGCCGCTGCGAATCCTTATCTTGATCGTGAACCCCGATCATCTTGATCAATGGCGGTGACTAACTTTTCCCCTCTCTCTACATCTGTGTTCGCGCAGTTTGTTTACCAGTGCCTTTACACATGAACTTGTGTAGCTGTTTGACTATTGGAAAGTTAGACCCCCGAATAGCGTAGCCTGTTGTCTAGCTTTTGAGAGTCATTCCGAAGCACTCGTTTTGTGGTCGAATTTCCATGCGCAATCTCTTTTCTTTACCAAATTTATTCGAAGTACTTATATGCTGTCTCTAGTCTTTTTTATACTCTGTTGAATATATGGCTTCGATGCTCTTGTTTATTATTTGCCTTATTTTTCTTTCTCGTTAAATTTATCTGCACACCACTGCCACTGTTATCTTGTTTATTGATTAAACTCCATACTTTTTCTTTTGCGACATTATGCGACCTTTACCAAAGTTTGCTTATTTGCTCGTACCTTATATTACTTTGCATCGCTTTCCTTTCATTCACACGGCTCAAGCCCTATGTTCATTCGTGTCTTTCCGTCAACGACATTTAACATGCATTTTTGCACAGAACTTTCTCCGCTCACCCACCTCAACCCGCTATTTTCACTCCAACAACTGCCACCACAAGTACAGCACTGTAGTGGGCAACGCGTGCAATCATCGCGAACTACAACCGAGTTAACTAAGTTTAATAAAACGTAGTTTATATGTGGTTCTTCCGTCTTGGACAGGTGCAATAAAGACACGACATTGGATCAAGTCAGTAGTTAATCATTTTGAAGTAAAACTGCACCCAAGCGCGACTTACATGCGCGATAGAATAAGGTTGACACAATTAAGATGACGGCAATGGGGTAATCAACTTTTCCACTTAGCAGGGAAATGGTGCGCTTTGGTCAACTGATTTTCATAAGCTCCGCTAATTGAATGTCCGCGCTGAAAGAACGGGAATTATACCTAGGCTCAATTTAACGGATAAGTAGAAGCGTAGTGGAACATTGATGAGTTATCTTTGGTGTATGCTTTGAATGCCGTCTCTTATATTAACTTCAGGCTCTCCGTGTCGGAAGGTAAACCAGAGCCGGTTATGATCGTCTCTTGTCAAGGTATGTGGAACCACCTGATAGTTAGGCGTGTGTTACTGTTTATTGTTCCCTTGGTCGCCCGTTCTGTGCACTAGCATATCTCTACCATTTCATCAGTACCGAGCGTGCTACCTGTGTCCAAACCTTTCGATTCGGATGTCACATCGCGTTGCCGCTGTCTGAAAATCAAAATCGATGACTTGTCTGCATCTCAATGCGTTGGCTTAAAGGCGACAGCAGTACAAGCGAGGGAGTAGAGACACTTCACCGGTCTACATTGACATCATATTGCAACCCGCAATAAGTCACGGTGTCACACGGGATGAAATTTAATTAGGTCCATCCGTCAAGGGAGTACGTAACGAGACAAGAACAGATGTTAGCGCTACCTGTAATTTGGGCGAGCCCCGGTTAGACATCGAGCCATTAGATAATAGTGTCACACGTGTGAAGATGCGGTCCGTCTGTCACCTTGAAATGTGACACTTACAAGTGTTTCTACACGGCTTCCACCTACTTATTCAACATGATGACAGACACTGCCTGCTGCGAGTAGAAATATCAGTTGGCATGCCAAAGGTCCCGGGTTCGGGTTGCAATACTACAGTCTTGCGAGCGGGCATTTGTTCACACTTGTGTGTGGACTTCCACAAACTGAATGGTGAGACAATAACCCTAATGGGCAATAACACTACGAACATGCATGAGTTTGGATTAAATGTAAGAGTAACAGCCATATTCCTCTATTTTTGGAAAATAACACGTACAATTATAAGCAACCAAGTTAACGTTTGAACGTGAACCTAACTCGCAGCCTCAAATTTAGTCAGCAGTGTGGCCATTAACGATAGAGACAGACATAGGAACAGGGAAGCAAATGCCATCAGTGCGATTGCTAGGTAGAATGATGCACAAATAAGAGGTACAGTAAAACAGTGATGTCTTATCGTTAGTGTGTGCTGTAGATGCCGTCTGCTATTTGTGATTTTGGGCTTGCAGAGCTGATGGCGGTCGCACAGCGTATGAATGCAACGGGTGGTTAGCTGCAGTTATTGCGTGTCCTCGCCGCCGACCGATCCGATCTTCTCCTATCCGAGGTATATGGGGACTTCCGAGTGACGTTCCTTGTTCTTATGCGTCTTAAGCGTTGGAAGGCAGTAATGGCACACATTCTCTGATGGCCACTTTGGCGCGACCACAGCATTGCACCATCCACAGCTCCATCCACACACCCCATGCCCAATGTAAAACCGAAGGAATAAGACCGGGAGGCATGTGCATAGGAGCTACGTTTCATCAACAGAGCCGGCCCACACTCCTTCACAGGCAAACACAAGCACGTTGTATTTGGGGAATCAAGGTCACACAAGGCAGTGGCTGGACCGTAGTCCGCTCTACCCTGTGTGCATGGAACCACTCTTTGAGCTTTGCACGTCCACGAAGACCGTGCACTCGGTTCCCTCCAATAACGACCAACTATCTCCTGCAGGCGGTATAGACGTGGTGATAGCTAACATACAGGTAGGCACCTTGTCAACATGCACATCAAGCGCAGCCCCACCTGGGATGTCAAACAACAGCCGATCAGTTGTAATGACATTATCAAACCATATAGATTGAAAACATTAAACGGATAATTCGGCATAACTCTTCGTTACTTATGGCATATGAAATAAATGGGTTATCAACATCGCGATAAATTCAACATGGCAGAAGAGATCAAGAAAACCTATGCAACAAACGAGAAAAACTAAACGAAGTTAATCAGCTTTTCTTTAAGGGACATGTGCAACCTAATAGAGGGTTATACAGGTAGACATTAAAATGTGGTAACGAAATAGCATTAAGAGAAGTTGGCAAACCAATCATCTTAAATAAAGTGACTCGGCACACAAGCACGCGGTTAGTAAATCGAATGGAAGCGCATGCAGCGTACCTACCAACGCAGTGCCAGTTCTGCTTATGTTCTCAGCATCACCCGTCGTCGTTTCGATACTAGTACCGAGTGGCCTAGCTCGTGGCTCAGTAGGCCTGCCTGACTCAGGCACTCACGACCACATGTTATACAGCACCATACGCTCGAAGTCGATGGAGTACACTTCGTCGCCTGTCGCTTCCACACCTTCTGCTTCTTCTCCGCATGCACGAGGGCTTTCCCCTGCATCTCGGCAACTGCCTCCGTGATCAGATCGCGCCATGCACCCTGATCAACCGCCTTCTATTCCCAACACCTGTAACCAATAGTAGATATATCCTTTATTTGGACCGTCCGTTTCACAGTTGTTACACTTTTGGGGCTATTGTGGTACCTATCAGCTCTAAAAGAAATCCTTTTGTACTTTTTACTTTTGAGCAGGCTGAAAAGATGGTCTTCGTCTACCTGTTTTGGCTTTAGTGTGCTCTAATATCTTCAAGATCGTTTGAATTTTATTCCCATGGAGCTGCGTTTGTGGGTTATTAGATGATTGTTGCCGTTAGTTAAGATGTGATCCTTTTACGCCGCTTTTACCGTTGTTCGCTTCGTCAATCTGACAATGATTACTTTGAACTACTCTGTTACAACTTAAGGGTGCATTTTATTTGCTTCATTCACTGGTTGTTGTTTTGGATTTTGCAATGTTCTGGGTCCAAAATACAATTTCCTAGTCATTTCCAGAACTTATGCACGCATGTTATTAGTGTTTCAGGCGATCAGGAGATGAGGCGCATAGCCATTGCACTTTTGCATGCTTTAACTAGATCATAGAAATGTTGCAGTATGCAATCTCATTATCTTTTCGGCTTTCTCTCCGATTTTTTGGTTTATCCCATTTGTTTCAGTCTTTGCAAAACGGACTACAAGCCTTTTGTCCAGCTTTTGTTAATCGGCTCATTTGTGTTGAGATCACAAACTAGGTGTTACACTTTTATTTTGTAACCATTATTTTCACTATGACTGTACAATTTCTTTCGTCGGCCAGCAGTGTAACTATCCTTTTATCTCTTATGATGGTTGTCGGCACTACTTATTTAATATCATTGCGCATGTTGGTTTCAACTTCACTGTTAAAAACATGGATGACTCTGTGCCGGATTTCTTTTTGGCCTTCAAGTTTCTTGATATGTGAGCATTAGCGATGATTTCAATGTAGCGATAAAATCGATGATGTGCTCCTTTCCATGGGATTTTCAGCCCTTTGGATAATCAGTACAGTGGTTTCTCATCGACGGATTGTTTCTGCTGTAATATTGTGCTCAACAGATAACTTCCTCTTTCCTGTTTCAGAACAACGGGATCACAAATGCGAGCACTGTGGAAAGTTGTTTTTCTTGAAGGCCCTACTGCAGACCCATGTAAGGGCTGTTCATTTGAGTGAGTACTTACTTGATCGTAACGTTACATGTTAAAATTTTTCACTAGTTACTTAGACTTGTGCTGCCTAGATGAGTGTGGGAGTGCGTGATTATAATTACATTTCTCATACCTGTGTGGGTCAATGTCCGAAAGGTGAGTCTCTATTGGCCACATCTGACAATTTAGGTGTAATCAGTCGTGGGATACATCTTATCATGCGCACCACACCAAACACAAATGGGGAAAATTGACGTTGAGTTTGTCATTATCTCCCAAATCAGATGTTTGTTCGCGCTAGGCCATTGCTCCTAACATGTTAACGCGTTGATTCTTCTGAATTTCGAACCGTTATTTCCAGAACCCGTTTCGGTAGAGAAGTCTTTTTTCCTGCACTTGGTCTTCACTTATTTTCGTCGTGATTGCCATGTCGTCCACACACCCGTCGGACTTTAATTTGCAGCGTTCTTATCAGGTCACTTCGCATGTGCATACTGTGCATTGTTGCTCTCAGCATACTAACATATGACTGTTAGCGTTTAGACGTTTCGAGGGTATTTGGCTGACTCAGTGGATACGCAGGCTTGACACAGATTAGTGCTGTACGGATAAGTCAAGAGCTTCATGCGATGCTGTGCTTTGTGCGAAATAACCTGATAAACCTGCACTTTAGGAGATAATTGTTGCCACTAGTGACCATTTTGCTTCAACTGGTAAATAATTCACTCATGAAAAAACGGTGCAACAAGCGATCTCTTTTTGTATTTCATTGTCAGGCCAAATACAACGCAATTGAATGCTTAAGATCAGGAAGGTTCCATTGTGTAACTAAAATGTTAAAATGTCCACGCGAAAGCTGACCGGACAACAACTAGCCTTGGCGAAACCGTAATCTTGACGATCTTTATTCACACGCAGCGGGGGATTGTTGAGACGAATTGCGATCGTCTCCGCTAGTGAAATGACTGAGCGTCTGATATGTTCGGAATGGACACCCATCACACGATAGATCGGGTATGCGACTGTTGCGGTGTTGCCATGCTTTGATGGTCGCGGATGCGTTCAGACAAGCGTCTCGTGGCTCCGTTTATGTGATATCCTACACTGGATGTGACACCCAAAGACTTTTCATCCTTCAGCTGGAGGTGTTGCCTTGGAACGGAGGTAAAGATAACGCGCAACTGTGCGGCGCCATAGGTGTTGCGGACCTCCGCTTTTGCTAAGATTTTCGGAACTGTTTTCTCCCTTGAATGACAACGCCATCGCGACGAGACTTCTACCTTTTACGCGGTGCGATGGTTTGTGCCTCAGTAATCCATTGAGCTATCCTGGGTGGTGCTTTTTGCACCTTCAAAGCCACTTACCAGATTGCTCAATGATTAGAGGCCAGACAAACTCCAGTTGGAGTGAGGGTAGGCTCTTACTCCTTAAAACGAACTTTTTGTAGCCCATTCTCAAAACCTCGCAGTTTTGCGGTCAGGTTTTTAAACCAAAAGCTTTGATATTGAACCCTAATCGTTCTCCTGTCTATGCTTGGGCAACCTGATAGGATCCCGCCCGCGCAGTACAACTCTATGGACTTCCCTCCACACGATTTCTTAATGCTCTGGCCGTCACGGTGGATAATAAACGGCGCCTTATCTGGTGCATCGTCCAGGGTGGATAGGGGTTTGGATGCCACTGCTCAGACCTTCATGTCTTCTTATTCCCCCTATTACGCTTTTTCATCCTTATCATCCCTCTCCAACCTCTCTTTTCTCCCCTTTGTTTTCAATCCAGTAATTCTTGGCCCTCTCCCATCTTGCTTCAATAGTCGCTTGTCTTCTAGTCTCAACTCGTACACAATCGCAGGGCGTCGCTCCAGTCCAGTCGACAAATCCATGTTCAACCAAGCGGACAACGTCAGTTCATCCGTTTGCCTTTGAAGTCCTGAATCCTCGCTAAGGCTGGGAAGCCTCAACGTGCACACTTTGTTACAGCTTGGTCAACAGGCAGCACTTGCCCGAGCACTAGAGACCCTATCGATCGCTATTTGCTGTTTATAAATTAATAATTTATTCTGCTCATTACGAGACACACCATCAAGGGCATGATCATGGTAATACAGGCATGTGTGATCGGCAGTTGCACAAATTATTACATTTTGATCAATAGCGTAGGAATTTGTGTGTGTTGACATGCAGAAATATGTTTTAGTGTGTATTTGGAAGGAGTCATGTTGTGTGTATTTAAATGTGACTCTGTGTGTTTTTGTTAGCTGGATTCGCCACCAAAGTAGGGAATCGAAGGAACACTTCGAATTGGATGACTTTCGTGATGTGTGGATAATCCTCCGGAAAAGGGAAGAGGTAGTGACTTTATTTAGTGGCGAGTCACCTACGCCACGTCACAGTGTTGTTAAATGGATATCTGTGGCTTTTTATAGGGAGAACGCTTGCCAGACGAAATCCCACCACACCCTGGAACACTGCCGCCGAACCATTTGCTGGAACGGGATTAACCCGAACCACCCAGCTGGCACCACTGGAAGGTTGTTCGGCTAGCCAGCAAGATTCGAGCTCTGTGCTTACCCTGCGATCCCCCACATGGGATACTGGCGGCATATTCTCATTGCGCCTGTCTGGCGATGACGCAGCTTCAAATGCAGGTCAAGCTGGCGTTGGCATTGTTTTGAGCCCCCGGGCTGAAGCTGCCTCGATCGACTGGATCCCTGTCAACAGCCGGATGTGCGCCGTTAGGTTGGCTGACTCGTTCCATGCTTCGAAGTCGCGCAGGGACAAACGGTGTCTGTTTGTCATTGCGATCTACGTCCCCACAAACTATAGCACTGATTCGGTAAAATATGCTTTCTATCACCAACTTAACGATCTTCTTCGTTACAGAAAAGCACGGATACTGTGGTGCTTTCTGGTGATCTAAACACCCTAGTCGGAAAATTCTTCACTGATAATCTTCATCTTAGCGGCCAATCTGATGTAGGCTCTCGTAATGACAACGGTTACTACACTTTTGTGAAGATGCTCGTCTCTTTCTGGTGAGCACTTTCGACACAGCACTCGCAGAATTGTGACTTGGTGCCCGCCATCCTTAGACCAACCATAGACGCAAATCGATCACATCGTGAGCAGTTACCGCTGGCTCGGCTGCGTCCAAAGCTGTCGCTCGATTTGGAGCACGAACATGGACTCCGATCGTGCTCTTGTGTGTGCTCACCTTTGATTGCGTTTCGGGGGATGTCCGCAATGTCGGTATGACCGCATAGACACCAGTCAGCTGGCGAAGCCAGGTGTTCTGAATACGTATCAAAGGATACTGGTATCCGGGCTGAGTATGCGACCTTTGGACACCGTCAAAGATCACTTGTTGCATATTTGTCAAACGTTACTATCAGCCGGCATATCTCCAAGTGGCAAATCAAATTGCCAACCTGGGCATTGATTCTTTGCGCATGCTCTGGAACTTATGGATGCTCGCCGACTTATTCCGGCTGTAAGCGAATACAGTGAGACTCGCAAAAATCTCAGTGGAAAACTGTGTGCTAGCCTAAAGAGAGACCGCAAAGTGTGATGGTCTCATCATGCATCGGAAATGGAAACAGCTGTTGTCGCTGGTAATTATCGTAAATTATTTTGTATGCTACGGGAAACATGCAACAGGAGCCCGGGTGTTAGCGATAGCATACGCGACGAGAGTGGACAGCATATCCACAGCTTGTCAAAATGCTTGGAGCGTTGGGTCTAACACTGCAGGACAATTTGACCAATCTGATTTATCACTTTCTTTTTCGGGTATTGAGTGCTTTTCTTCGTGGGCCCTCTCCTTCGATCCACCCACACGCACCGAAATCGAACGTGAGACAAGAAATTACTTTAGGCCGCAGGGGCAAATAGTATCTTCCCAGCCCTCTTCAAATTCGAGGACCTGCTCTTGTAGTTGACTTACACGTGTTGTTAGTGAAACTTTGGGAGCAGGAAACTGTCCTGACAGACTGGAGCCGCTCCGTCATAGTCCCAGTTTCCAAGGGAGGCTCCGTTCTGAATGCCGCAGTCATAGAGGGCTTAGTCTGATCTCACTTGTCTCTACATTGCTTGCGTCCATCGTTCTCCACAGACTGACTGCCACTCGTGAAAGCGAGGTTCGTGAGGAGCTAGTCGGGTTTCGTCGATGTCGATGCTGCATCGACTACATCTTCACTTTGCGTCAATTGTTGGAGCACCGACATTTTTATTGGCGACCCACCGTAGTCGTGTTTCTCAACATCAATGGGGCCTTCGATTCAGTGGATCGATGTGCCCTTTGGGACTGTCTGCAACGGAAATATGTGCCCGATTAATACGTAAACATTATCAGAATGCTGTACGCGCATAGTTCAGGCACAATAAGGTTTACAGCAAACTGTCGCCACCCTTCAATATCTCCAGCGATGTGAGACAAGGTTGCCCGCTGTCACCTTTCCTCTTTAACGTCGCTAATGATGGAGTCATGGAAACGGCGTTCACTGGACACGACCTAGAAAGTGTGGAGCTACTTCCTGGTGAGCGACTTCTTTACTTGGAGTCTACGGATGCCTTTGCCCTTATCTGTGACAGCTCGCAAACGTGCCAAGCGGCGCTGGACCGATTAGCACTGGCTGTCAATCGTTTTGGGCTATGCTTTGCTCCGTAACCTCAAGATGACGAGCTTGTCTTATGATCTGACGGCGGGGTTCGAGCCTGCTTAGGAGCAGGGCGACCCTCACTGTATGCTTAGCCCACATGCGACCGGTGGTGATTGCGCGGCAGCGAAGCGTCGGTGCTGGGTACCTGCATACTACTGATGCCTTACTCCATCGAATTCAACGTTTTCCTAATCGGCCCACCCTTGCACCGAGCCTTAGTGTGATCAGCTAGAAGTCTTTCATGAAATGAAGTGCCTGGGCATCTATACTAGCCCCAGTGGGAAAGAAGATGAGGTTACGAACCGTGTAGCAAAAGCTCGAGATGCTTTTGCCAATGTTCGCCACCTATGGCGCGACGCGACAGCACTGTAGCCGTGAAATACAGAGTTTATAATGCAGCCGTCCGTTCGACCCATCAGATCGACAGACATAAAGAGGCTGATCACGTTCGACCATTGCTACCTTCGCAGCTTAGCTCATGTCTGGTGGGAGCACTACGTGAGCAATGTATGTGATCGGCGTCACGTATTTGGTCATCATCATCATCATCATACACGTTAGCTAGAGGTGGGGAACACCTCAGCTACTGTGCCGCAATACACGGCTCCGATAGCTGCGCATCTCAGCACACCGACTCCCGCGACGTGCGTTGTTTGCACACCAGGGGGGGCGGTTGGAATAGGAGGAGGGAAGGCCAATCGATGCCTTGATCGAGAGAAATGAAAACTCCTCACTTCGAAGTTGGCGTCAGTTTGTGCATCCCGACTGCCTGGCTGGGGTCCTAAGGTTGATGAACACGTTTGGTTGAACACACTTGCTGATATGGCGAAGGGCCGACCCCATTAGCGTTTATGTTGTGAGTTTCTTTGTCCAACCCTCCCCTTCGGATTCCCCTCCTATTACGGTCTTTTGCGAAGTGCATAATATGACATTTAACATTATATTACTTGCCTTTTGAATTCATTGTAGTGTAAATTTTTATTTAGTATTGCGGCACCTTAGCTGAAGTGTGTTTCTCATGCTCAGCTAACGGGTTTAAGAGAGAACGACAATAAGTAGAGGGGTTTGTTTCCTAGTGTGGGTGGTTTGGCCACTACACTCTCAGTTCCATATTTCTGTACATGTAGGCATTGTGATATCCTTTGTTAAGCAACACCTTATTACAGAGCACTTACCTTAGTTGTGTTCTTGGGCTATAATTTCATCGGTCTTTTTAAAAGACACCGGGCTATGTTCTATTTTTTCGTATGGTTTGCGAGCTATCAAAGTACCTATGTTGGCCCCTCCTTGTCCGCTATCCTGTGGATTCTAATTTGCACCCGCCATCTGGTCAACGTGACAGTGTGGACATCCAGGAACGCCAGATTTTCATTTGACTCGAGTTGCATGCACAACTGATTAACTTGATTTTGTCCTTCTCATTGAACAGTTTCACCAACTTAGTGGGGTCCTAAAGTAATACGCTCATCTTAGGGAAGTATTCGATTTTTTTCATACTAACAATCTTGCCTTTGTCTGTTTGCGGTAGTATAATCTCCTCGTTTTTCTTCGATGCTTCTAGCCTGTCCAAGTGCTCTCTAGTCTGCAGCTTCCTGACTGTGTGTGGGAGTCAAATACTCTTAACCTGAATAAACCAGGATCTCCTTAGTCATTTCAGCATTTAATTCGCTTGTAGGCACTAAATCGTCCACCTATTCTATAGATTTTCAAGCTACACTTCTAGATCTAGCCGTTTGTGACAAAATTTGTACCTAAGCACTGCACCTCGAGTGTTGTTCTTTCTACCTTCAATTAGTTGTGGTTGTGGACGTAACGCTCAAATTCGTCCAGAAATTCCACGTAGAACTTGGCCTAGCGAACCCGCTTGTTCAGTTTTAGCTCCTTTTCCTACTTAGGTTTTGCTGCTATCCAAATTACCACAAACCTAAACTAAGGTATAAATCACGCAATCCATTATTGACTGCAGCCAAGGTGTTTTTAAACCTCTTCACGGAGAATGATATTCTGTTTTCTGTTTCAGAACAAGGAACCTTCACCTGTGATTACTGTGAGAAACCTTTTTATCTAAAATCTCATCTCCAGTATCACGTAGCGTCCGTCCACTTGAGTGAGTCCAAGCTTAATTGCATTTTTCGACCGTTTTTTGTTTTCTTTGTGCCTAGAAACATGAATGTCCAGTTTCGCTGTCTATCATTTCTGTGCGTTGCACTAACCGCCCAAATAAATTAGCACAGTTGAACAGCGTATCCGGGTACCGATGTGCTGTGAATCCAGTCGCCGTGACTCACATTAACAATGTAGTCATAAATAGCAGCGAAAAGACAATGAGAGTAAATACACGTGGAAAGAAATCGGTGTCAACATGGATTAATTGCGCCAAACTCATTCAGATAGAGTGAAGATAAGTAGTTAGATGCTGGAAACCGATACAGGAGCGTCACTGATTGCGAAACTACGCCATGTCTGGTTGGGTCCTCTACTACTGGTGTGGACCATCCCGGGGACCCCATCCACGAACACCGTGCGCACTAGCCTGACCAAGTCTCAATCGATTTCTTCACGCCTTTTATGCCACGTGGTGGACTGGCCACTTCGCGGTTTCACCCAACTTACTTTATAATACACGCCTTGGAAGCCGGTCAACGGGCATAGGGGGAACATGGCCTATCCAACGTAAGCGATTAAGATTCATCAAACACTTATGTGAGGTACCATAAGCATACTTGCCTTAAGCCAGCTGACGCACCTCAGTATTGCTCACCCGGTGCTCCAACCAGATGTGAGCCATACTTCGCAAGCACCGGTAGTCAAACACGTCCAAGTGTCTAATATCTTCACTGGGAACTGGCCAAGTCTCTAGTCCTTAGAATAACGCCGGCTTTATAGCGGCGTGATGCAGCCTACCTTATAGCGCTAGGCTAATATGCCGCCTTCTTCATAGATGGTTAAACCTATAGAAAGACAGATGGGCTTTCCTGCTACACGAAATCAGCCCCTCAATGATTTAACCACTGGAGGTGGCAAAACTATCGAGGTAAGTAAACCGATCCACTACTTAACACGGTTGTTCGGCGATAGCTAGAACCGGAGAAGTGCGCGAGGCACATGTCGAATCGTGTTTGTGTTACGCACTTGTCCATCCAGCATTGCTTTTATAGCCTCTGCGTTAGACCCAAGGAGACGTATGTCATCCGCCTAATCAAGATTTTTTAGTCTGTCACTTCGTAGAACTTCCACTCCGGTAGAGTCTGACAGAACCGAGTTACCTGAAGTGAAAAGTAGAAACATGACAACTCTGGCGAACCACACTTGTCGTGAGAAGCTCGGGAGACAACGTTCCCGATACTCTTACACGGCCTCTGGAGTCGCGATAAAGAGAATGGAATGGGGTTTAGCTGACGCACCCTTTATGGATAGACTGCTACACACTGGTACTTTTATCGGAGTCCATGGCGGATTTCTAGCGAAGGAAAACCACCATACTTGATTGAGGGTCCGTCGCAGCGCGTTCCAAATCAGATAGTCGTCCACTATACACTGTGGCTGGGATGTATCTACCGATTGTCATGGACGCACCGTGAATTGCCGCACATTGCGCGCCCTGAGAAAACCCCGAGGAATTCTAACGGCAGTCCGGAGATCCAATCGGATCTCACACGATGCACTACGCGCAAAGTGCGGCGTCTGCGTACCACAACTTGCACAGCGCTTCACGCGATGAGGCACAGACTAGGGATACTTGAACGATCGATACATTCTGGTCAGTGTTTGAGGACAGAATGTTTCGCGGAAAACTGGATGCCTGTAGGCTCTGTACTGACCGATGTTTAGCCGTAGCAGCGAAGTTATCGTTACGTACAGGGTCTACCACGGTTTTTAAAAAATGGACATCGCGTTTGCGGACGAACCTACACGTGATGCACAACTGCTGTTATTTCATCGCAGCTATGTTCCCATTCAAGTAGACAGACTGACGTACACGTGAGAAACAAGTTTTCGATGTGTCCGTATTTGTATCAAAGGTAATGTTAAAACACAGTTATGATGGGCACGCCAGTAGACTGAAAACTAGCTTCCAAAGAAGCACTGTGGAAGAAAAGCACCACTTTCAACTAGATCTTTCACATTAGGAATAATAACGACTTATTAGTATTTTGCTTTCCTGTTAAGTGAGCCAAGTTCTATCTGGAATTTCTCTTTTCTAAATACTCTATGATAGTTAAAGATTACCCGGTTGTTTCAGTTCAGTTTAGTGCAGTTGACACATCATGATCAGGGCACCAAAGTGCTGTGGATGCAGTTGCCACGAATCGCGTCGCCAGAGTGGCGAAAATGAAGAACTATAAATAGATGCTGTTAGCAGAATGGAAACAAGAACGGGGTGCGTGAAGCTAATCGCATTGAAGTATGAACAGCTACACG